CTACAACAGCAAATACAGGCCATGTACTTATCCCCCTCACCCCTCCACCCACCCCGCCATGGCAATTCCGTGAATTCCTGTCTCATCTTCCCCGTTTGTTTGCAGTCTCGTTCGCGGTCTCGTGCGCACCATCAGCCGAAATGGGGCATTAGCATGCCACGATTATATATTGATATATTTTTTTTGCATCGGTCGTAAATGATCGATTCTCACGCACGCATGGTCTGTTTTGACACGTATCGTGAGACTTAGCATCCTTTTTCATTGATGAAACGACGCCTTGCTGACGGTGCATTTTCAGAATGACAATTTAATGCAAATGTTCAACTCCAGCTAATAGCTCACCACAAGAACAGGAAACGGGGGGTGGTGGTGGGGGGGGGGGGGGGAGAGCCTTTCTTGCCTCCGTTACCAATTCAAAAGATGGCATCTCTGCTGCTACAGCTGGAGAGACGTGGACGAGTGGGTAAAGCCGTGCGTACAGAGAGACTCCCTTGTTTAACGGTCAGAAGTGAGGGAGCTCCAAAGCACTAAAAATATAACAAGGAAGCCGTGGAATACTGCTTGGGATGTTGCTCCCCCCAGCACACCCCCCCCCCCCCCCACGATTCCAAGGATCTTCCTTAAGTCTCTTCAGTTTGGCTAATTTGGAGCCTTTTGGCATTTTACACCTGAATCTTAAACACGCCTCAACGTGGCCTGTTGTGCCTGAGGCGACTTGTAACGAGGCCCACGTTAACGAATGAAAACGCGGGGAGTTTACATTTCTTTTCGCGGCTCAGCCGATGTTTAACTCAGCCAAAAAGAAAAATATGTATACGTGTGTTGTTTGGGGTACAAATATTCGCAGGCACGTGCAAAACCTGCTCGGATGGCAAAACGCACGAGCCGCTAAAAACTCGGCCGTCCGGTTGGCCGTTACGAGTCTGAAATCACCGACAACATCGCGCGTGACTAAGCTAAACTTTTTAAAACCATATTTATTTTTTATTTTAGCAGGTAAGGCCCACTGAGCTAAATTGCTCTTCTTAAGTGGCGAACTGGCCACAAATGAGAGCCTCGACGAAGTGGCTCATCGCGTGGAAATTCACAGCAGCCAAACACTCTAAACGCACGTCTCGAAATGTGGAGGGGAAAACCGGAGGGCCCGGGTGAAACAAATCCACGCGACCACGGGGAGAGAGACACACAAACTCCAAATATACAGCAGCAGCAGGCGTCAGGGTCGGGATCGAACCCACGACCTCCTGTATACCAGGCTAGGTAGTTAACATCTCCTAGCCACCGTGATGATAATGCTGAGAGAGAGAGACACACACACAAACTCCAAATATACAACAGGCGTCAGCGTCGGGATCGAACCCACGACCTCCTGCACACCAGGCGAGGGACTTAACATCTCGCCAGCGAGAGTGGTGATGGTGAGCGAGCGACACGTATCCGCGGAGATGACTTCATTCATGAAACTGTAAACACGGTGCCACACACACACACAAAACACCCCGCCCCATCACTTGCGGCACTGCTGCTGCTGCTACTGCTGCTGCGGTGGCGTGCCACAACATGGAACTCAGACAGGAGCTCTCTGTCCTAAGATGACGCTTCCAGTTGGCATGTCTGGCCGAATCCTGTTCGCCGCAACATGTCCCACATTGCACTTGGATCGCCCGGCTGCCCCGATCACTTGCTCCTCGTTCTTTTCGATTTCACCGCTTTTGTTTCCCCACTTAGCAATGTTTTACTGCTCCGACAAGTCGAGAGCGTAACCATTTGGAAGTCTGTCTGCCTTTCTGTGGTTTTAACAAACGAAAAAAAAACCCTTGCCACGCTTTGTTTATTTTGTTGTCCACCCGCAGAACGATTTGTTTGTGCGCCGGGAAACTCTGCAAAAATGATCGTGTGCGCTCTCTGAGTGGAAGATAACAACGCGTAGAGTAAACGTTGCCGATAGACGTGTGCGTTTCTCTCTCTCTCTCTCGGCTGCTGTAATCCGAAAAGCCGCCCCTGTCAGTGTTGAAGATGTGCAGTCGTGGGCGTTGCAGGGCAGCGCATTCTAAAGTGACAGCGGGGGGGTGGGGGGGATATGGGCTGAAGAATCTCGAGGGTGTTGTACAAACGAATCCGCGGCTGTGGCCTTTTTGGAGGAGATGAGTTCGGGGCGCGAGCAAAGGTTGCAAGGCACAACCTTTTACGGGGATTTCACGGCAGTAGGATAATCCCTGTAAAACTCGCAAAGAAGGGATATTGAGAATACCGTAGTTGCATTATTTTGACCAGCAGCAGGCGTCAGGGTCGGGATCGAACCCACGACCTCCTGTATACCGGGCGAGGGAGTTAACATCTCCTAGCCACCGTGATGATAATGCTGAGAGAGAGAGAGACACAAACTCCAAATATACAACAGGCGTCACCGTCGGGATCGAACCCACGACCTCCTGTATACCAGGCGAGGGAGTTAACATCTCGCCAGCGTATATGCCAAATACACTTTATTTCTGTTTTCATTATTCCAAGGGAAAAATAAATACCACAAGTATTAGTGTGGATAAGTGAAAGCTTATATGGATCTCAGTGGTTCCGTGACGAGTCTCTTCATGAGCTGTTGTCTAAGCACGCGGTGATAACACTGCTAGTTGCGAGAGTTTGAAATGGACACTTTGGTCTTTAGACATGGCACTGATAGCACGAATGGAAGAATATTTGGAATAAAGGATAATATCGTTCGTTTATCAATCCGCTTGTCCTGGTGAGGTTCGCAGCGGCAGCATGCTGAGTAGGGCGGTCCAGACCTCCCTAAACGATAATATATTACTTAAAATAAAGTTTGATACCTTTTGAAAGAAAAAAAATGGCTTCGCCAGTGGCTGTCAGCGGACGTTCGAATAAAAAACAAGGTCAAATGCGGTAATAACATAAACCACAATTTGAGATTACAAAATCTCCAGTTGTATTGTCAAAATCAAACAAAACATTTTTCGAGGGGAGTAATTATATAGAGCAAATTGTTACAGAATCTAGAACACAATTACCATGTTTAACATAGAGCTCTGCGATGTGTTTTCGGGTTGTACCACGTGTTTAATTGTACACGTGGGCTTTCACGACGAATACAATTCTGATTTTTTTTAATTGGTTTGTTATGGGTTAGCTGGAGATCTGAGCTCCTGTTAAAAAAAAAAGCTGATGATGCTGGATATAATTTATAGCGAAACGTCCGTACCCATTGAAATGTTTGTGGGAATTCCTCTCCAACGACGAGCACAACAGGACCGGTAGTGCGAACTTAAGCAGTCAATACACGTGACACTTCTCTGTGTCAGTTGGAGGAGGGTTTACGGTACACACATTTTTGAAACGATGACCTCACCCAAAACAAACCGATTTTGTACCCTGTGTTGTTCGGCACCCTGTCCGATGTTTCACTCCACGTGCTGGGAGCTTATTTAAGGAACTGGACATCACGTGGTACAAACGGAAAACATACCACAGCACAAACGGCAATGTTGTTTACATCCAACAATTATACACATATATAATCACGTCGTGGGTATTACCTGCATATTCAAACCCTCCCATCTGTGCCGGTGCGCAAATGGGAGCTTAAACTTAGCCTGAATGTCACTCGTCAGACAATGCACTCCACTGTGGACACTTAGTGTTAATAAATACAGCGGTGTACAAAAGAGTGGCACACAAAAGCTACTCCAGACGCTCCACCACACAAGAAGGGCTTCGCAACAAAAGGCTGTGTTCAAGGACATCTTTCTGGTGTGGGGGGGGGCGCGCATCAAGCTGATGCATCCCAGCAGGAATGCATCCTATGTGCCAGCTCTAATCTCAGCCCTCATTCCGATACGGTGATTTTGCCACGCTCAAACAGACCATGTTATTATTATTATTTAAATATAATAATAAAATCAATTTTGCAAAAATCCCTGGTCGTAAATCTCAAGTCAGCGTGTCTCGTGCCTTCGTGGTCACGATCGTCATCCTGAAGCGCAGCCGCTGTGGGCCGTAATGAAAAACTGAATTACTGCTGTCGCAAGTCATTCTGTAGCGTGTTGTTCTCGGGCGGATTTGGTCGCCTCGTGGTTCAGTTCTTTAGTCTTCGTCTCTGTTTATATTGCCGACGACCCCGCCCTTGCCATTGTAGGCCCATGTGCCAGAACAGAATTCGGTAGCACTCCGAGGTGCCAAATGCCTGTTGCGCGTGGCTAATCGAAACAAATAACACGCGTCTTTAAACACGTCGTCCCGGCCACCTTCATGCCAGTCGTGACCAGATAAACACCAACGAGAGACCGAACATGAGTCATCTTGGTCGTGCGGTCGAACAGTGTGCGCTGTGACACAAAAACAGCAGCTCACGGTGCAGTTTTATTTTCGTGAGCAGTCGCTGACGCGTTCATTAGCCTGCTTGTGGTGCGTGACTCAGGACCATCGCTCGGCTATTTGCACGAGACGAGGCTGACGAGACCAACTTACGGGGCCTGATGGATGGCGAACTATTGGGAGTGCCTTGGCGCGCAATGCATTTGTTTACGGACCAGCCACTTTGGGTATCGTGGGTGTCCGAACACTCCCAACATATTTGTGTGTGGCCAAGAGGCACGCACGAACTTTGGGACAAAAGTGATTGTATTTCTGAGTCCACAATTTTTTGTTTCTCCCTCCAGCAAGGTGACACTAATGCTCATTGTACTGAGGACAAAACCCTTAAATTCACAGTGGTGCATGAATGGTCGGCTCAGCACTGAGTCAGTAACCAGTAGTTGCGGAGATGTAATATAACTATAGTGCAGTAGAACTGCTTTTATCCGTGATGAAGGGACGAACTTCATGGATCCTATCTGTAATCTAACCAACAGGCCCCAGGAACCATTTGCCAGGAGAACTTCCCCAACTATGAACCGCGTGTATTATTAGTATTATTATTTATTTCCAATCATTCAAATACTCTAACACTGGCTTTGTTTTCTCCCTGGTTCTCTCATTGACAGAATGCCGAGCATTCCCATGGCTGAGATGTCTCTCTCCACGCTTTTCGGGCTTCTGCTGCTGCTGATATCGCTGACGACCGCAATCCCACCGCAGGAGGCATGTCCTACCAATTGCAGTTGCAACCTTCAAACGAACATGATCTTCTGCGTAACTAAGGAAATGTCGAAGCTCCCCTCCAACATTCCCATGGCTACTCTCCACCTCTACCTGTTCGAGAACAAAATTTCCCAACTCGCCGACTCGTCTTTCGCTGGACTCCCCCACCTGCGCACGCTCGACCTCTCGTACAACCAGATCAAAGTCATGCCGCTGGCCCTCTTCCATCCCCTGAGAGACTTGAAAAATATCGACCTGTCAGGGAATCTCATCGCCAGCGTCACCAACGAGACGTTCCGAGGGCTTGCCACCCTGGAGAGGTTGTATCTGCAGAACAACAAAATCTCAAACTTGCAGCCAGGCTGCTTTGACTCTTTGGAGAATTTGCTTGAAATAAAGCTGCAGGGTAATCTTCTGAAGACATTTTACCCAATACGGGCGCCGAATCTGCTGCTTCTGGAGCTGAGCAGGAACCCTCTGGCGAGGCTGGAGCCCCACACATTCAAGTCAGTGAATGTGGAAATCCTCAGCCTGTCGGGAGTGGCGCTCGCTGAACTGCGAGACGATGTTTTTGACAACGTGAGCAACATGCGGGATTTGGATCTGTCCGACAACCAGCTGACGTCGGTACCATCAGTCCTCCAAAGGATGTCCAGCCTCAATCAGCTGAATATATCGAAGAATTTTGAACTCTCTCCGGTGGTGAGGGAAGACTTCAAGCCATTCCTCCGCCTCCAGGTTTTGGACGTCAGCTACTGTGGAGTGCATTTCTTTCCGCAGCGATTCTTCCAGCTCTTTCCCGTGCTCAAGGAGGTCAACGCAGCCGGAAACCCATTCCACTGCAACTGTCAGATGAACTGGCTGGTTCACTGGCTGAGAAGCACCGACGTAGCCTTTTTCAACTTGAAGGAGACGAGATGCCACTTCCCGCCGACGAACGCCGGTAAGCAGCTGGACAGCGTGCAGTATGGAGACCTGGGCTGCCCCAAGACCACCGTAGTCACCACGACGTCCACAGCTTCCACAACCACCGCCAGCACCACCACTACAACCACTGCAACCACCACCACCAGCACCACCACCAGCACCACCTCTGCGACAACAACAACAACCTCACAGCCTACTCATCCACCACCTCTTCTCACCACCACCCCGCCTGAGCGGGTACTTTTATCGGACCATGAGCCTCAAATTAGTGTTGAAGAGCCTCACCCTTCCAAAGCGCCCGAGTCGACCTGCGAGAACTTTCACTGCCACCATGGTGGAGTGTGCAAGATGGAAAAGGGAAACGGACCATTTTGCCTTTGCAGCAGGGCGTGGCTTGGACGCAACTGCGAGATCCCAAAAGAAATTGCAGCCCCATCTACGGAGAACAATTCCGAAAAGAAGTCTTCAGAATTCAACTTGATTTCCGCCGTCTTCAGCACAGCAGTCGATATCCAGCTCAAAGACGCGCAGATGCAAGACCCCGACCTGCGGGGATTCCAGCTGACCTTCTATGAAATCTCCAGCACCGACCATCGTCCCACCACCCTCAACCTGCCACCCAATTACTACATTTACACGCTGCGTGGTCTGCGTCCAAACTCCACGTACATGCTGTGCCTCCGGCCCATGGGCAGGAGTGGCTCCAAGGAGCAAACGGCGCAGAGGTGTGCGCAGACCCAGACCCACCCAACTGTCCAGACCCAAAACCTGACCCAGCACTCGCACTCCTTGGAAAACCAGCACATGTCTGTCCTGCTAGCGTCGGTGGTGTCCAGCTTAGTGCTGCTGCTCGTCGTGCTCATAGCCCTCGTCTGCTACAGAAAGCACAAGTCGAAACAGCACGCGGGCGACCCAAACTACGACGCCGTCAAGTACAATCACCACGGCGCAGGTGGGAACACGGCGCCTGGAGCGGCAGGCACGGCAGCAGAAGGGTTCCGGCCTTACACGGAAGAGGGCAAATTCGTCGTACAGAAACCACCGCCGACGGTGTACAGCTCGCAAACGATGCTCGCGCAGCACTCATTACAAATCAAAGATCAGACCTTCAGGCCACTGCTGGGCCACTCGAGCCTTCTATAGCATTGAAATGCAAGGACTATGAGAGGACGTTTGTTATTGGGGCCCTATTGCGCGAGCACCACGAGACTGGTTTGAGGGGCTGCTGCAACAGCCTGTTGCGCAAACGCCGGCCTACGTACATCGGCGTATAAAACCTGTACTAAAGAAGTATGACAATCATTGGACAATGTAAACGTTGACTACGATAACCCAACATCTTTTGTTTTTTTTTTACAATGTAAAAATGTTTATTATCATTATGAACACGACGTAATGGCTTATATGAAGTTTATATTTTCTTAACATTTTTTTGTCAGTAGAAAGTAGAATGCATCGTTACAGTATTCGTGCAGCACTAATGAAGATGATCATTTTGCTTTGAGGCGAACTGCATTTCTTTGTGTTCATACATTTTGTCTCTTGTTCACTAAATGTCAGTCGGATTCAATTTAACAGCGTATTGCCTACAGTAGAAACTTGATTAACAAAAGACAATATGGTGTTTTCATGCATCAAATAATGTCTGGATTTGATTTAAATTATAAGAACAATACTGATACAGTGCTATCTTGTCTACCAGATAACACCAGAATCATTGCTGATTGGATCCAAGGGCACATGTGACTAAATTGGCGCTTATGATTGGTCACAATGAAGGGGTTGTGACGGTGACAGCTGTGATTTCTTGTGGAAGTGCTGTTTAGTTTTATGTTTGATAAAAATACACATTTTCACAAGGTGAACGTTCTTAAACTTGTTAAGCTGAAGCAGCATGATGATACATTTTATAGAAAGGTGTTTTTGGTTTACTGGACGGTGATAAGTGACATTTGAAAAAAAAATGGACGCATGCTTTCCCCGTCGCTGTATTATGGCACTTTTTCTTGTCCTCTTGTTGGTTATGAATGTTTATTAATCCTACCGACTACGTCGTCTCAGAAACTTTGAACTTTTACAATGACATGTGAGCCTCCGTCTAACAGGGTGAAACTCTGCAGTACATTCCGCATCGTTGGATTCGTCTGGCGACTCTTGTATACGTTGAGAATACCTACGTATGACGCTTCGTTCGTGTTTTTGGCTCATTTTCAAAGCAACTTTTTATTTTAAAAGTGACCATGACACTGCAGATAATTGTATCGGTCATTGAGCCTCAAATTAGTGCTGAAGAGCCTTCTTAGTCCATTCGAAAGCGCCCGAGTCGACCCGTGAGAAGTTCCACTTGTCACCACGCTGGAGTGGCCAAGATGGAAAAGGGAAATGGACCATTTTGCCCTTGCAGCAGGGTTTAGCTTGGACCGCACTGTGAGATCCCAAAAAAAACAAATCGCAGCTCCATCTAACGGAGAACAATGGCGAAAAAAAGCCTGCAGCCTTGATTTCCGCAGTTTTTTCAAGCACGGAAATCGATATGCAGCTCAAAGACGCCGCAGATGCACCACCTCGACCTGTTCTGTATTGAATACGGTGCAGACCGGCTGTTTTTTTTAAATCGTACATAATATCAGGGGTGTAACAATCCTCCACCCCCCCCCCCTCCCCCCATGTTGTTTTAGAGAGCTGTTATAATTTCGACACCATTTAAACACCACGCGATTTCATGAACGTATCTCAGCCTGTAGTGGCTGGTGGAGTCATGTGAACCCCGCTACGATAGAAGGAATCAAACACCGTCGACGATTACACGCGTCCGACGTGCGCGCATCGTGTCCCTGAGACTTTGATGTTCACCAATCGGCGTGTCCGTTACACGCCTGTTTCACGAGCAGCGATCCATTTATAGATGACCCACGAAAATGACGGAGAAATGACAGTGGAAACAACATTTTATCTCAAGGGCCTCCTTCTTTCACGTCTCGCACCGACGTTAATACACCTGATTTAAAGCTTTCGTGGCTGCAGGGATTCATATTCTTGGTTCTTACGGTAAAGTCACGTAGAAGGGAAACAATAAAATAAAATAAAAAATTCATAAAAAATATATTTTAATGTTTTATATTTTTATTATTTTATTGTTTCCCTTCTACGTGACTTTACCGAAAGAACCGAGAAGATGTTAATACACCTGTTACACTCAGACTCATCGTTTTATTTTAGCTGGTGAGGTACATTGAGCTTCGCAGCTCTTTTACAAATATGACTCCAACCCAAGACTGTCTGGCAGTGGTGGCAGTTACAGGACATCATTGCAGGGAGGTGATTGTGAAAACTAACAAGAACAGTAGCACAACAACAACAAAACTCATGCCAGAACTTGCTGCAAACAGCAAAAGCAATAATAGTGCTTAAGATACAAATAAAATAAAACAGTGCCAAAAATCCTGTCACAGACGCCATTGTAAATACAGCCTCAGACATATCAGAGCTTAGTTATATATACAGCATTCACAATTGTGGCAGAGATATTCCTGCAGTATATTCATTCTTAAAACGCGTGGATAAAAGGAGGGGAATTTTGGTTCTGGAGACATTCCAAAATGTTGGTATTGCACAAGAGGAGGCCCTGGAATCAAATATTTTAACTCTCATTCAATATGTGCAGCCATCACTTTGACAATACTCAAACACTGGTCAGTATTATAGTAGTAAATATCCTTTATTTAACACAGGAAGTTAAATATAGACCCGCTGAGACGCATTACACATCGCCTCTTTTGAATAATTCAAACATTTTCAATTGACCAAAAAATCGAGACAAAATTAAAATAAAATTCACAATTCAAAAAAAATGTGAATTGCACTTACAAAATGTGTCAATATACAATAATAAAGAAGGTCATAATAAATCAGCGAAGTATCTATAAATGGATCATGGTGTACGACTTAAACATGTGCTGTAACACACACGCTAGGTGTGGGACAATGCGCTCGAGTTGGCCCATTGGGTCAGTCGCGATCTCGTTAGATCGAGGCGAGCAGTGTTGTTTGGATCGCGGTGAATGACGCTGGTCACTTGTTATTGTTCTGGGCCGCTATATACAAGCATTTCCTTCATTCCGTTACTTCGCCGGCCTTTTTAAATTCCTCCTTGTTTATAACACTGTACCAAAGATATGGTTTTGACTTTCACTGCCTTGGTATGCAGCGCATACATCGAGTGTGTACATAGAAATATCTTAAAAGTAACGTTGTTGTGTTACTGTAGGTGAATTGTCGTGTAACATTTGTACATAATAAAGAAAACATTTCGGAGTACTAAGGAAATCATATTCTCGCGGTTTTATACGGAACACCTTCGTGTGCTATTACGCTGCAGATGCTGCCGTGATGAAATGGTTAGCACACTTTGACTCGCAATACAGAAGTTGACATTTGAAACAGTGTGGCAGGTTTATGAAATGCCTCCGCCTATGCCACTCAGCAGTATAAATGGATAAAACCCACAGCGAGCCAATCGGTGAGTCATGTTTGGACGGGGTTAAGTGTCGTTCGTACTCCCATCTCTTCCAAGACGTCTGGCCAGTGTGGACCAGTAAGCCAAATGCCCTCCGCAGCGGGGGTGGGTCTCTAGATCTCCCTCAAGTCGAGTTCCCTTCCACCAGCAGTGGAGCGAGAACGTAATTACAGGGCTGCGTTTTTACCTTTTACATCGGAGAAACATTTTAAATGGGCATGTAGAGAGAGAGAGAACGACATTTGAAGCTGTGGTGCACATGCATCTTCCTTGAATGGAATGCGAAGAGCCGTTTCACATTTCACTCGGCCTCCTGTAATTTTGCAATCGTGGCATTATGGTCGCACTGCATGAGAACACGGTGGTTGGGCAGGTGCACACCCTACCTTTTCGACGGGGAGTGGAAGCCAAATGCTCTATCAATCCAATTCAGTAGCCCTAATGGCTTGCCCCCTTGGCTACTTGATACACGTGCCCCCAACGGTTATATTTGCACCCCAACCAACTTCAAAAGTCAGTTCCACGTGCCTGCTTGGGCCAGGACACGTGACGGATGCGACTGGCTTAGGGTGGCTTTTAATTCCCACAAGGATTACGGAGTGGCTGTAAGAATGACACCGTAGATTGTGTGTCCAATGGACCAGTGGTGAGTGACTTAAGCGTTGAGCGATCGAGAAACTACCTCGACGAAGCGCTGCAGGATCTGGGTCTAATTGGACCAAGTCACTCACAATGGCTCTGATCGGGACCCATAAATTCGATCATTAACTCGTCCACAATTGCACGGATCATATCCGGATCTGATCACATGATCACCCCCCCCTCGTTCTTACTTGATATTGCACCTTACACAAATATAAAACAGGTTTTCACGTGACAATGCAATGCACAAGCACACAAAAAGTTTCCGAGACAACCAATAACACAGTGTATGATGCGCTCCAGGATACACCGGATTGTTGAATAAACCAACACATAGAACCATTCAAGGAATAGAGACGCCATATCCTTAAGAGTAAATATACGAACTAAGTATTGAACATGATTTGAAAAAGGTGAGTTTTAAACCTCCACTTAAGTTGGGATACATTTTTAGAGGAAATGATACGTAGGTTTTCCAGACCAATATTATGATTCATAATTGGCTTCTTTTGGGTTAGGCCGTGTAAAAATGTGTACATATGTTGAGCCATCGCACCTTACGTAGTCAACCGTGCGAATTGGATGTGTGTCGTAAACCCCCTCCTCCACCCGACACAGCCAAGTCATAAAAAGCGTCACGTGAATCAAACGTGCCTCATGTATTACCGCATCAGCACCAAAACCACCACCGGTGTTTGTTGTTGTAAAGAATCAACTCACAACATTGAACTGGGTAATGACGCCGCGCCGGCGATTACGTCCGTCGTCATCATCATCGTCGTCATATCAGCTTGTAAACGGGAGCTCAGATCTCGTCCTGATCCTGTAGATGCCATTACGTCATCGTCATGCACGTGATCTAATTGAATCATTCGTTGATTGGCTCGTTGATTGGATGTGATTGGCAGGTGAGATTAGTGTAATAACGGGAATCTATGTAGCCAACGGTGAAAATAGGCTATCCTTAATTATGTCAAGGTGTACTGTATTCGTAATGAAGCTGGGACGTCAACGATATTGTAAGTTTAGTTAAGCGTTTAATAAGATTTTAACTGTGCCGATGACATCATCGGCAACCCGATTATGAATAAAATTGATGGCACTCCCTTGCTATCCAGCCACCTAAAAGCTATTATAATTGGTTAATTAATTGCAGGCCTTTTGTCAATCATGCGGGTTGTGGGAGAGGGGGTGCGGCAATTCACAGAGTGTATCAAAGCCCTTGTACAGAAATAAAAATCAGAATATTAAAAAAAATACGTTTAAAGATGTATTCTGTGTGTGTCCCTCGACACACTTGAATGCTCTTGCCAATGAGATGTTCCAACTCAAGGGATTATCCAAATAACATATTTTAATAAACGGTAAAAGAGAAAAACAAGGAACAACTATCGACCTAAAATGTAACAATATGTTGAGCATAATGGACACTGCCGGCGCTGACATGAGAGAGGTTTGATGTTCTTGAACAGAATGCTGATGTGGCACTATGCTTTAGCTGCTGGCATAGCTAAACAGCGTGACTTGTGCAGAGACCAGCTGCCTCTTGTCTGAACAGAGATGTTTATTCTCTCACATACAACTGCAAAGGATTTATTGAATTATACAAGAGGCTTATGAATCGAACTGGCTTTCCTAGGTCGCTTACTTTTAATACGCATTTTGTAATGATCAGACGCAAACAAACAAAAAATGCATAGCCTTAGTGAGCTGCCAATTTCTTTCTTGGGAAAACGCATTGAGCATACGATGCAACGTTAGGGAACATACAAGCTGCACTGCATTAAACTATTTAGCCTGCGCCAGGCTAAAGAACCCTCAACCCCCCGTGCTTATGGTCGGTCACATTCTCAGTAAGATCAAGCGATTAATTTCAGATTCATGGGGAGTATACATCTCTTTTGCTCATGACATGAGACTTTGTGAGTTTTTCCATATAATACATACAAGCAGATGTCCATTCCGTGTCGCCAGATACAAATAGTCAAATATGTCATATTATTTGGTTCTTTCTGTAAAGTCACGTATAGAAAAAAAAGAACTTTAATAAAAATTTAAAATATAAAAATAATTAAACAATTATAATAAAAACACGCAAAAAACACTAATGTAGACTTAGCCTGGTTCTTATTCGGAGTGAGTGTACTGGCAATCTATAATGTAGACTGTAGCCTGGTTTTTAACCTCGGTGAGCGTACTGACAGTCTATAATGTAGACTGTAGCCTGGCTCTTAACCTCGGTGAGCGTACTGACAGTCTATAATGTAGACTGTAGCCTGGTTTTTAACCTGGTGAGTGTACTGACAGTCTATAATGTAGACTGTAGCCTGGCTCTTAACCTCGGTGAGCGTACTGACAGTCTATAATGTAGACTGTAGCCTGGTTTTTAACCTGGTGAGCGTATTGGCAATCTATAATGTAGACTGTAGCCTGGTTTTTAACCTCGGTGAGCGTGCAGACAGTCTATAATGTAGACTGTAGCCTGGCTCTTAACCTCGGTGAGCGTACTGACAGTCTATAATGTAGACTGTAGCCTGGTTCTTAACCTCAGTGAGCGTACTGACAGTCTATAATGTAGACTGTAGCCTGGTTCTTAAGCTCGGTGAGTGTACTGGCAGTCTATAATGTAGACTGTAGCCTGGTTTTTAACCTGGTGAGCGTATTGGCAGTCTGTAATGTAGACTGTAGCCTGGTTCTTAACCTCGGTGAGTGTACTGACAGTCTGTAATGTAGATTGTAGCCTGGTTCTTAACCTCGGTGAGCATACTGACAGTCTATAATGTAGACTGTAGCCTGGTTCTTAACCTCGGTGAGTGTACTGGCAGTCTATAATGTAGACTGTAGCCTGGTTTTTAACCTGGTGAGCGTATTGGCAGTCTGTAATGTAGACTGTAGCATTATTAAACTGAGTGAGCGTAGTGGCAGTCTATAATGTAGACTTATTATTGGTTCTTTCAGTAACACAAATGAAATAAAAACAAAAACACCACGATGTTTCGATCGCAACACAAGCGGTCGTCATCAAGAAAAGAGGGGGTAGCCTCTTAAGGCAAACTGTTTATAAAGGTTAAGAGATGGGCATAGCCCAAGTGTGTCAGCAGCATGGGCGGGGCAGATTATGTTAAGGTAGGAGAAAGACTTGCAACTACACCAAGCACTTCGCTCCACACACTCACACTGCTGACGGTGGAGGTTGACAAGATAACACAAATCAAGTCATGACCCAAAGTGGTTGATGACATCTTTCCAATGATTGCTGAGTTTATAACCACCTTCTCAGTTGAAATTGTGTCTGTATATATGGATGGCTTCATGAGCGAATCTTTGTTGATAGCCAGTAGGCTTGCAAAGTACCATCATCTTAGAGAAATACATTTTGTGTGAGCCAGCCGGATTAAAATAATGATCAGCCACGGCAGAAGTATTGGTCCTACCGTGTTTCAAAGCTGCCTTATGCTGATGAACATTGTCCGAGACATATCGTTTAATTTCCCCAATGTAACTGCTGTCGCAGATACAGCTTTAGTTTGTAGACGCCGGAATAATGCATGTCAGAAATCTTGTCCGTCACAGATGGGATCAGATAACGAATTTTATGTACTGTGTTAAATCGGATCTGGATCTTGTGTTTGTTCATGATTTTGGAAATATTTTTGGTTACCCCTGCTATGTATGGCACGGTGATGGTTTTGATTGGATCTTCAGATGGCTCCTTCCTCACTGTTGGGGTGATGGCTTTGTGGATTGTGTAGTCAGAATATCCATTCGCCTTGAGAGCTTGGTGTACGTGTTTGAGTTCACTGGTTAGGTGTTCATGGTCGAAGATACATTGAGCTCTATGGTGTAGCGTTTTGATGAGGGAATTCTTCTGGGATGGATGGTGGTGGGTGTCCGGTTTAAGGTAGGCATCAGTATAGGTTACTTTCCTGTAGACAGAATGGCTCATTAAGCCATCTGGTCGCTTTTTGATAAGGACATCCAAGAAGGGGAGCATGCCATCCTTTTCTACCTCCATGGTGATTTTTTATTCACTTTATTTAAAACATTTGTACCTATGGTGACTTTACCGGAAGAACCAAAGAATATTACTTGCTGCAGTCACGGAAGTTTTAATTCATAAGTGAAATAAGTTTCTACTTCAGTGGCCTAGGGTGATTGC